TGTTTGGAAGCGCTAAGAGTTACGATCTTGTAATGCCAACCAGAAGATCAAAACGTTTGGTCTGCATCTGGGATCGTTAACATCTTTGTTTTTTCGCGGTTCATGGCACTTGAGGAGTTTGCATTCTTTTAAATCCATGTTCAATAGAATTTAAGCGCACCCAAACAGGGGAAAGACTTTTAATTGTCAGTTACACTCTACTCAAGAAGATATTTGATACAAATACACGCTAAAAATAAGGTTTCGACCATTCAACGGTCGTTCTCAAGTTAGGTTCAAGAGTTTACGGAGTCATTTTAATGAATTTTAAAAGTGGCCTGCATTGAATCTTTTCATAACTTGTAGTGGTTTATATAATTTCTCCCGAGAAAATTGTGGTATCTCATAATTTCAGATAATGCCTAACTAAATAAGGGTATGGGAGCAAACTTTTTGAGGTATCGAAGAGTGACCAAGGAGTTGTTTTTGTCACCTAGGCGAGAAAATTTAAAACGTGAGCGGTATGTTTAGCTTACCGCTCATGTTTTAAATTTTCTCACCTACCTAGGTGACACACAATAACAAAAGCATCTTTCTTTTAATGGTTAAAAAAACAAAATTGTTTGCTTTGCCAAAATTTAGAAGCTTCCGAGGCAGCACTTCGGCTTCTTTGAAGATTGGCGAAATTTTGGCAATCCGCAAAAAATTGGCGAGTTTGAAACTGGGGGTCGCACTTATTTTACGCTACTTGATGACAGATTTATTAATTATACAAACCTAATATATTGTCGATTTGTTTTTCAATCGATAACAATCGATATTCCTGAAGACAAGAATTATCGATTGTTATCGATTTTTGTCAATCGATAGCAATCGATAAAGAAGTTTTTCTCTGAGTTCGATTGTTGTAGATAGTGAGTAGCGTAGCCAATCAGAGAACGGCATTCGTGATAGAACGCTGGTAGATTTATACTAAAACTGGATAGAAACAACGGATGAGAAAAATGTACACGAATAGTCCGAAAATATGAAACGTTGCGTAACCGAAAATACTAACTGGCGAAACTAATTATAATAACAAATATACACGGAATAACTGAAATAACGGCGAAAAAAAGGACAAACACGTGAAGTCGACAACAAAATTGAGACGCCGTGACTGCATGAGGTAAAACAACCGTGAAAGATATAGCCTCTTCCAGGCGTTCAGTTAGTGTTGGCGCAGCACGAGAAAACGTAGCCTGCGAGCAGGCTCACCTTTGCGTCACACGCGGGAGCGGCGAAGAACAGCGATCCGGCGGGAAGGAGTCGATTTCGCGCTTGCGGCTGGTGCTCCAACGTGAGCCTGCTCGCAGGCTTTAGAAAACGGGGGAGCGAAATATAGGAGAGAGAGGCCTGGTTTTGAACTAACTGATCGGATGTAAGAGGCTCTGATCAAAGACGTAAAAATAGACAAGAGAGCATGATCTAAGTTGGATTTTTTTTTTCAGTATTCATTGCCACATCACCATTCTTGTCGTTCATTTGATTGTATTTCATGATCCTGACTTAAACTTTTTTTAAAAATTTTACTCATACATTATAATATTTATTTAAATTTTAATTTGTGTTGAATACCTGCAAATTAGGCGGTGTATCATTTTATCATGTGATATCACACCTAAATTACACAATATACGGCCTTATGTGCGGACGCGTACCAAGAGGATTAAGTAAGTATTAAACAATATAACTTGTATTTTATTGTATCAGTACTGTGTTCCCAGCTGTATACAGTAGCACACTAGACCTACATTGTACGCATCGTTGACTTTGGAGTCAAACGCGCGAGTTAAATTCATGAAAGAAGCTCGACTGAACTGACTGAACTTAACAGTTGCAGCTCAGTTGTTAACGTGTTAGAATCACGTCTGAACATTCATCGAGTCCCGTTGGCAAACGGTCCAATCATTACAAGTCTGACTAGACTCTTTGGGTTCGACAAAGTCAATTGTGAGACGTTTCAAATATTTGGCGGGTATTCTAAAAAAAATGTATTGTTTTCACGCCTCAGTCATATTTCTCAATCATGAGTAGCTTTGTAATTTTGCTGTCCATGAGTTAAGTTTGACATTCATTAATACTCATTTGTAAATAAAGTTATAGCTAGAAAACTAGAAAAAACCAAATAATGAATAATTACGTGTAAATTCATGGCGCGATTAATCAGTTTGCTAATTAAACAGTTTGATGAGAAGAGGTAAGTGCGTGATACAAATAGGCATTATCAATTTAAGTAGTTGGCGCCAAAATTCACTTTTTCTAAAAGAAATATTCATAAGCTAAGGAGTGTAGCATTTGCTACTTCAGTACTTGACTTGTTTATTAACTCATCTAGACGCTGCATATATGTTTGATATGAGTAATAATAATAATAATAACAACAACAACAACAACAACAACAACAATAATAATAATAATAATAATAATAATAATAATAATAAGCTAATATTTTAAGAGGAGGCCTCCAATCACCTAAAGGTGGTTTTCAGGAGCGTCCTCTACAAAATAAAACTCTAGAATATATATTAAGTGTCTAAAATGCAAAAGTAATAAAAGCTAAAAACGTTATTTGGCTCTTCAACCGGGAGCCATTTACGGTAAATCGTTTACCGATAAAAAATACCAAGCAACACGCTACAGCTAACCGATGACAAAAGACGATAATTCTATTCAGTGTCGCTTCGTTCAGCCGCATGGAAAACATTTCTATGATACGTAGAGGAGACAAATAAAACAACAAATAGTAGAGGGAGCCGCCAGCAATAATCGAGTTTATTTACAAGAATCTGAGACACGCTGAATACAGGTTACAAGCCAGAGAATATAAGAAAATGTCACACGCTATTTCAAACAAAAGGCACAAACAGCCTCGAGTAAACTGGTCGGCGTCAAGTGGTGTGATATTTCTAAGGAGTTGTATATGAAGGTCTAATTATCCCAGTGGAACTAATACAAAGCAACCTAATTATAAACCGAAAAGAAATACTTTTAAAAAACACTCTTCTTGCGTAAGAGTGTCCCAGTTCGGTGGACAAATGGGCAGCATTTAAGACTATTCTACCACCTCGTCTTTGTACGTGTTTCACAAGGTCATCAAAGTGAAAAACTAACTCAGTATTTTGAACAATACTTAGTTTCAAGTTACGCTTTCCACTCAGTTGAAAAGGGCGCAGCAATTATTCAAAAATTAGTCACCAATAAGTTCCACAGAGGCGACATGCTTCGCAGTTCCTCAATGGGAGCAATAACCGTGAAACCAAAACACAATCCTGTAAATCCAGTGACTGTAACGGTAAATATTCAATCAATTTTAATTTTTCCACATTCTGGTTGTCGAGGTCATTCGTGACTAGACATCTTCTACAGCTCGAGAAGACCGAAAAAAGCCACGGGTGACTGCATAACCGGCAGTTCGTTTAAACTTTTATTGCATCATTTAAAAGTTTGTTAGTGGAGCAACCAGTCACTACTTACACACAAGGCGACAATCCTCTACCCCGAGAAGTCATCCCAAGTAGACCTTTGATGAAGGTAATGTCTCCTTGAAGAAGTTTTTTTGGTTTTCAATGTTTTATTTTGCGTTAACAGTGCGTAGGGTCTCTACCTACTACAACGGGAAACTTCCAAGTTCATTACACTTCTTAGTTTCCCCCAAAATAGCATGGTATCAAAAATTTATCAACCATTTTTCTACCGGGTTACCCAAATTTGCATCAACTGAGTTCTACTAATTAGTTTAATTATAATTCTAAGTCATGAAAATGCAATTACTTCCTTTTAAGGAGCAGGGCTTAGCTAGGTAATAACAACAAAAAAGAGCAATTTTCTCCTGTTTAAGTTTAAAATGCTAAAAGCTACGGTTTTGTAATATCAACCAGAAGATCATGATCAAAACGTTTGGTTTGCATCTAAGGTCGGTAACATCTTTGTGCTTGCATGGTTTATGGCGCTGAAGGGACGTTTGTATTCTTTTAAATCTATGCTCAAGAGAGTTCAAGCGCACCCATGCAGAGCGAATTTTTTATTCAGGTCAAAGTTACACACAACTAAAGGAGTGTTTTGATAAAAATACACGCTAAATAGAACCGCTTCGACCGTTCAACGGTAGTTTAGTTAGATTCAAGAATGGAATTAATATGCATCGATATATCATTATCCAGGTGCTAAAATATGTACATACTGAAAAAAGGATACAATAGACTTCCAATATCAAAGGATATTCAAAAATTACCCCAAGAAAATACGCGCGCTGATTCCAGCAGGCTTGGCTGTGATTGGTCCAAAAATACAATGGGTAGACCCAGGAGCCATAATCGGGGACGGAGACCGTAAGTCTCGGGATTCGCGCGCACCTATGATATGGGACAATTTTTCCATTTTTAGAACAAA